CTGTAGCTTGGATGCTAGGGAGTAGTCAAGTTCTTGTGTGGAGATTTTGTGCCATGCTACTGTGCGCAAGCTTACACCTCAGGTATGAAGATGATCGAGCTCTTGTCAAGAATGGCAAGGTGGTGGCAGCTGGTTGGGCCGAGGTCCGGGACTAGCTCTGACACATTGACCTTTTTCTGAAAAACAGAACCCAAAATCAATATGCTGTGTGCAAGGACGTGCGGGGGGAGTTTAATTTCGTCAAGATGAAGTACTGCGTCTTGCCTGATTACGAAATCCAGAAACGCGTGGCAGATCTTCGCATTATCGATGGCAAGGCCTGGGTGCATAGAGTTGGTGAGCAGTTTGAAAAGCCAGTCCCATGGTATGTGCGAGGCGGCCTTCCAAAAGCTTAAGCATGCAGATGCAACATTGGATTTTCTGGCTAATGGAGATGCAGCCGTGAAGACAAAGCTGCAAAACAGCATCCGCGCACCTTGCCTAGAAACATAAAACTTGTAAGACTACTTACCCAGCCCAAGAGTCGTGTGTTCAAGATCACTTCAGGTTTTCTGTGCAGACGGTGAAGGTGCTGAACAGCTTGCGGGGCGCATGGCTCGCGCTTCTTGACTCAATGTCAATATTCACATGATAATTTGTGAGATTCGGGGATTGTTGTCGCAACCTAGGTGGACAACTTGTTGCCTCGTTTGACTGCTGTGGTGCGCTGCTATGCGCACAGCGCGCAGGGAACCCTGGAAGCATGCTTGGATGTGGATCCTGAGGCTAAGGCCTTGATCCTGGATCTTGTGACCCGCTTTGCAAGCGATTCTGACAGGGGAGGCCTGGGTCGAGCTTTAAAGAACTCCCCTAAACTGGCACGGCTATTTCAACGGGAGATCCAGACTGACCTATGCAAAATTGAAGAGCTCTGTACATCCACGAACAGCTGCATGAAGGCCAACTTTGCGGCCCAACGCTTCAATAGCATTGTGGACGTGCTCCGGTTGTTGTCTTTGCGGATCAACTCAGTTGTGAAATTCTTGATCAGGGTGGCCGGGACAGAGGAGGACAAGAAACTTCGCATTTGGGCGAAGAATATCTTGAAGGTCCCGGGCACAGGGTAGGCCATTGTATTTTAGCTTGACGTTTAGGGCTTAGTGTTGCTCTTGAATTGCGTGCCCAGAGGTTCTCACAGCCAAGAACTTGATAATGCTGGGATGCTTGACCGAGTTCTTTGAAGCAGCCTCCAGGCATGTACACAGCTTCGACAATGCAGGTGGAAGCAGGGGGTCAGGCCAACCCAGTCGGAGCAACAACAGCGTGATCTCTCAGATTGCTTTGGCCTCCAGGCGCGCGCAGGAGGTGCGCGAGCAAATGTCCAGATTGTTCGACTTCCATGCGGCCGACGGCTCCCAGCAAGTTCCACTCGTTCTTAACAAAGACTTTTCGCGTGGATATGTGCAGATGATTTGTGAAGGTATGCAAGAGCTGAGCAACTTGTCTAAATGGGCCCTTTCGTTTGACCCCGTGTTTGCCACTGGCCTCATCCCACTCATGAGATTGCCACGCTAAGGCAACGGCAAGAGCTTCAATGTCATCCATGAGGGTGAGTTGCTGTATCATTTGGACTGTGCCCTGGCCGTCTATTGTAGAAACGTGTGCAAGCATGTTGTGGCCCAGCTGGAGGCTACCAGCTTACTGCCCGTGATGTGGTCGCCGACTGTCTGGGGCACATCAGCCATCTGAAAGCATGCTATCTGAATGGCATACTCTCCGAGCATGAAGCTGGACTCGGAGAAGGCCTCGCTCCGTTCGATGTGCAGCATTGGACCTCGAACCACACCGATGAGTCTA